TTTTCTAATCGTATTCCCAGCATGTCGATACTTTGACCTCGATTCTACGAACGTGGAGGCGCGAGCACTGGTACGCGCGCGCGCATCCGCGTTATCGTCACTCGTTGGAATTTTGTGAAATCGAGTCATTTTAGGGCTCTAGCTTGTGCACTTCCTTTGCTTGTTCAACACCTGCAATGCATGCGAGCAATGTTTTCTCCGCCTGTTGCTCGCGCGAACGATCACGAATATGCAATGTCTTGTGTCATCCTATTTCTAATTATTAGTCATCGATTGTCCACAACTTCTTATTAATAGAAATTTTAGTCCCTTCTTCAATACACTGATGACACGCAGAGTTGAGAAATCTGGCATGCATTCTGCCTTCACTCTTTTTCTTCCACTTGTAATCGCACGGAATTCAACACCGTGTGACCTCTCTTTTAATTACGTATGTCTCACATAAGTTGGAAGTAAATGAAAGAGGAAACACGACTATTGGTCCTCTATTAGTCGACTAACGTTTGCACTACTATGATGCTCATGATGATCATCCACAATTTACAATTTACAATAGATTTTACAATCGAAAGTTAATCCATCGAACAAAAGCGTGTCCCAATAAAGTAGAGGATTGATCGAAAGCGGTAAAAATTGCACAATCGCAACTGTTGTGTCGTAGACGGGACAGTATTAATTCACGACTTCCTTTAGTCGTATTCCGGATATGCATGCGAGGTCACGTCCGATTTTAGTGGAGGTTTTCCGGCGTCACGTACACACGGTGACCGGGGCGAAATTTCTAATCCCCGCTGGCTTTATATAGTCATGCTCGGTACGGCTATTCATACGTGTCGTTGCACGCTTGATCACTTTGCAATCGGTATCGTGCAATTAATTCGCGATTACTATCGCTCGGCTGTTGCAACCCGTTGCTCGTTTCGTATTCAAACTGGAGGATAATTCTTCCCGCGGTAGTGAATGGTAATTTAATGACTAGACGCGGTGTAAAATGCCCAAAGCGTAATTTAACGATGGGAAACATCGTGTTTGCTATCGATCGTCAAAGCTAACTCTACATTCCTCTGTATCGCGGTTTCGACGTACAAATAAAAACTGAGCTTCTGTGTTGCAGATCTCGCTACCTAGAGGAGACAGTGGCCTTAAAAGTGCGGCGGCATAAGATAGGCACATTCGTGATCTACCCTGTAGATCCGGGCTTTTGTAGAATTGTAAATATCAGAAGCTCGTCTCTACAGGTATCTTACGGATGACATGCCACGCGACTCTAGATTGCAATGCATGGCGACACGCGTTCTGTGCAAATCTGGCGCCCCAGCTTTTATATCCCACGAGAAGATACCTTAGATTTAGAAACAGGTCGCCAGCTACATATTTGTACCCGCAAGCGATTTATAACTGTTCGAAACAAAAAAATGAGCGATACTATCATAGCTTATGCTAGACGTTAGACAATACATCCTAGATGTTACGTGAAATATTTTATTACTAATTAGTTTATATTCGACGTTAGGCTGTGATGTTGACAAGCTTAGGTGTATAATTGTTTTTAGGTGTTAAGTTTAGATAAGATAAAACATAGTCTATAGATATATATGTTAGATAATGTATCATATCCTTTTTCAAGTTTTTAAATATATGTATAATGTAAATATATGAATAAATATGGGATGAAAGAAGACTGTCTTAGTTATTTTATTTACCCGTTTCTAAATAATTTATAACGTGTAAATAATTTTTAAAATATTGGAAGATTATTCAACAGTGATTAATTTTGATTTTCAGTTTTATAATTTTATGTATTAATAAAAATTGATAATGTAGAAATCAGTCGTCATACGTTGTTCCTATATTCTACGCCTCTAGCGTAAATTCTTCGAACTACTTCCATAATTGTCTCCATTGATACGACAGAAATCTCTAAAACGCTAGGGAAATAGAAGATTTCAGCATTACCAGCAGAAGGTAAATCCTCAAGAGTTCTTCAATGCAAACAAAAATTATAAAATTAAATAATAGATGGAAATCATAACTCAATTACATGAATATCCACATTTATCCCTGATCTTTCTTCTCTTTTGACATACAATAAAAATTACTACAACTATATTATTGCATGTATCAAGACCATCAGATGGCGGCACGATTTAAAATTGAGTTAGCCCCTAAACCATTTGGAACGAGGTTACCAACTTTTAAAATCTTGACACTATATCTAGTATATACTTTATGCACCCAAGAACACGAAAATCCCCTTTTCTAACGTTACTCTCTGACACAAAATGTCAATCTGACTATCATCCTGGCAATTCTAATCGTTAAAAGTGTTTCTGCTATTGAAATTCTTACCAGGATTCTCGATTTCAGAATCAGCCGACCTACTTTCCGCTGTGTCGTCATTATCCCCGATACACGTTATCACGATTCAAAGCGTCTGTGTCCATAAGTTCTAAACTCCTCCTTGTCATTGTCGTCGTAGTCGTCATCGCCGTCGTCATCGATGACGTAGGAAGGTGTCAGCAAACGCGTTCACGGTCGCCCTGAAAAAAGAAGGGAAAAAAGAAAAAATACGAAACACGTTCACTAAAAGACGAACGATAAGCGGATCGGAGCGCATGGAAGCCGGGCCAGGTTTCGATGGTACGATAGCATGGTGGTACCGGGGCGACGGGGTATTTTATTATTGATCGTCCCTCGAGCTCTGTCCCCATCAGCTGTCGTGATCCCTGGCGTTCTCCTGGTACTACCGGGTTGTACGTTAACCTTTGTACTCGCGGCGGAAAAAAACGTTTACAGGTTGGATGCATATCTACCACGACCGAGTCAGCCGGATCTTGTACCTTTTTTGCGATTCGACGGCTAGTCACTATGTTTGCAACAAAGTGTAACGTTCCCTCCTATACCTGCTAGTCGTAATATTTGTTGTGTCTTTCAATCTGCTGATGAGTTTGATAATTGTAGCTCTGGAATGTAGGATATTTTTGGATATCGATCTTTAGAGTGCTGAGCAAGACGTTATAACGCGAATACGAGATAGTTATATGAAACTAATAAATAGGTATACCACTATATTGGTAACAGTAATTTAAATATCTTTTATAAATGGTGCAAATGTAAGTAATAGAATAATAATGACTAGAGAGTGGATTATATTGTGAGAATATAATTAAAAAAAATATTTCCTATTTTCATTCTCTAAAAAGTCTACATCTTCTTTTCTCTCCTAATAATTACTCAACTATTAATCTTATTACTAAATCTTTCAATTTTTAACATACACAAACATGTCAAAATGAAAAAATACACCTATCACATTAAAAATTTCCAGTATCAAAACACCAAATCAATTCGACGTCATTAGATGGCACTCACTTGTCCGAAAGTCGAGCCGAAAACGTCTCTGTCCTCAGCCTGCCGTGTATTTCCCAGAAGGCGATCACCTCAAGCGACGTTCACGAGACGCGGAAGCCTGGTAACGTCACCGGGCATTAATCGCGCGATAATGACCGACAGATGAAGAAATATCGTTCTCCAATGACACGCTACTGGGTTAAGGCGAATCCCCGCCATTATGACGTGTCAGCATCCGGGGGTAATCCACGATAACCATTTATTTCAGATCCATGAACCGTGTAGCGAAAGGGGTGGTAGTTGTGGCAGTGGTAGTGCGAAGAGGCGAGGAGTCGCACAAATCTTCCTTTCGTGGACAAGCTGAAGAGTCTCTTCGAACCGTGCCTTGCCAACCACCTCTCTTGTCTTCTTCTTCTTCTTCTTTTTTCATTCCTTTTTTCTTTCTTTCGTTCGTTCGTTCGTTTTCTTCCGGTTTCGACCGGCGAACATAATATCCCGCTCCCAGTCGTTGCCCAGAACCTTCTAACACGAATCTCTTCGTGTCTCCTTCTGCTGAGAATCAGCCCAGCTCTCTTCTCGAGTTCCGTCCGCGCAACCCCTTTCCAACCCCTCTCTCGTTCTTCAGGGTGTCACTAATACCGCGAGGATTAATGCTACGCGGCGGGGGCTTATGGCCACTATTAATTTCATCGGGAGAACAATATCTTATGTGGCTGGGTATCGGGTACATGCTTCTCCAACGCTTCCTGGATACCTGGCACACCTCTTGACGATCTAATGCGCTGGTTAGTCGGAAAAGAGATCCTTATCTACGTCGCGGTAGACCTGCTACGCGGCTCATCATGGGAGATTATTTAATTGTAGGTATGCATTTGTAGATTGCTCTTTGGTAATTGGTGTTTTACTACTTTTTTAATTATGATTTTAGCCAGTTACTTGCAGGTCACTTTTTATGATTTGATACTTTCCATTTATTTTGATATATCTTTTATATTTTCATTTATGATCGTACGCTAGGGGATTGATCTTCTAGTTGTAAGTAAATTTTGGAAATATATTTTCATTAAGCAATGTTTAGTACATTATCAATTTTTCTTGCCTTCCAATTAATTGCTCAATTCAAGATTAGCATGTTACAGAAGAGATCCATTTTATATTTTAATTGCTCATGGCAAATTTTTAATTCGATTTCAATAAGATAAATGGTTTCACGCACTCCAAGGAATGTTCTGCAGCATGTTCGCTGGAACAAGATTGATTTTCATTTAAAATCACATAGATGCTTGAATGATTTATATATCAATATAATATGTTAAATGGATCAATACCAGGAAATAGTTAAGACGAGCAAGTGTTCTCCGACAAACGAAGGCGTTGCTAGAAGAGGAAGATATCGTTGCACCAAATCGCGTTTCTCTTCTTTTGACGTTTCGAGAGCATCATAGTTCCTAGACACAAAGGTTATTACGCTGGCACGATAACATCCAGGCATAGTTGACGTATTTGACTGACGAGCTCTCGAGACGTCGCTCCAGGAGCACGCCATTTGCGGACGTCCAGCTGATATTTATCTGCAAGTAATTAAAAGTAGAATCTGGAATCACGCATGCAATTTTCGCCGTTGTTCCAGGTCTATTTTCGCGTTGTAACGCTGCCAATAATAATTATACACTTTCTCTAGAGGCCTTGGCCTCTTTGACGTATAGTTTATGAAAGCTTTAATCATAAGGTGTATATTTTTGGGTTAGCTTTTTTCATTCTTTCAGGATATATTTTGTTTAGTGTACGTTAAAAAATCTCGAAATTCTTATTTATTAATAAATAGTTGATATTTGATTCATATATTTGACTACGAGTTTGAAGATTTTTTGATAAAAATGGGAATATACTTTCATGTTAATTATATATGTAATGTGACACCTTTCAATTTGAAACAAATGTAATAACTAACTACATTTAATAATATAATAATAATTTGTAACATAATGCAGTGTTTAATAAAACAATATATACACATTAAATCTGTTGAATTTTAATATCACGCTGTGAATATTAATGAGATGGAGTGTAACTGAAACGGAGGTGAATTGTCCAAAGTTTAAACTGTCAAGGTACTAAATTTGAATTTCAATTTGAATTCAAATGTAATGTAGATTTAAATTTAAATTCGAATTTGGCACCAGACAGCTTTCAAATTTCGAAAGTGTTGGTTTTTACTAACAGATGTCGTTTTGGTAAAATGAATAATCACCATTTTTGGAACGGAAACGTACGTATGTATGTTTATTATATATTAATCAAATCCTATAAACATGTTTGTACAATTGAGAAAATCCAACTTCATTCCATTTTAACTTGTCACGAAGGATTAAATTTCCATTCTGACGCTTCGAAAGCCAAGATTTAATTAAAGGATTAAATTTCCATTCCGACGGTTCAGAAGGTCATTGACGCAGACGGCGAAATGAAAAGTAAGGAATCGTAAAGGGAAAGTCACGCGTTAAGAAAGGACGACAGGAATTCTTTCTATTGACTTTCTAGTTTCGTCACGGCAATTAACAGAACATCTTCCATGCATGGATAAGTCCTCTTCTGACAGAAGCGCATCCTGAGGCTTTGCCATCCTCAGGAAGGGTTAAAAGCGAAACAATGCCCACGGTCTTCGTTGTTTTGGTGCTATCGGTGAAAGGATTCACAGACCTTCGTGACGTGTGCCAGTTTCCCGAAAGGGAAGCTTCTATAGGAAATCTGCTTGTCGCCTTTTCCGGTGGCACTTTCTCCTTGTACGCAAATTGATGATAGAGAGGTTTGCCTGTTTCGACAGGGAAAGTCCTTCGAGTTTGAGCAAAAATTGCTAAATTTGATTGTCGAGCTTCCTAGAAAATTTTTTAATTTCATACGTATTATATTATATAATGTATATTTCTTACATTTGTATTTCATTACGTTCATTTTACAATACGTACAATGTCCAACTATTTTCGATGATTTTCACTAGAGTCTGGCAAATATCCATAACTTTGATACTGTCTAATACTGGCTTCTTGTAGTCTGAATCCAACCCAAGACGTTGTCAATCATCGCCATCAAGTAGGAATCTCTTAAGAAAGGAGATAGGAGCTTCCTGAATGAGGTGAGGATGGATAGTCGTGTTTCCTTATCTTGATTCTTGTTAAGCTTTCCATTTAAGGCTCATAATAACATTCCCTTCGGTCAATTTCAAGTGTTATCTATAAATCGACATTAGTTTAGTATTATTTTTTGTACTTCATTTTACAGTACGTAATACAATGAAATGATAATAGTGAGTGAGGATTCAGAAAAAAAGATAAAACATTTTTTTACTTTATCAATGGAATTTATGTAGATATTGAAAAGAAAAATGAGAAATCTAGTGACATGTCTGGAGAGTATTGTATAATTTTAGTGTTAAAAAATTCCCTAACGTTAACAATGTAAATAAACTTCTAGTGTACCTCACAATACAACTCTTTGAAATTGTAGAAATTCAAATGTACAACCACCAAGCTTGTTTCTGATCAAATCACTAATAATTACCAATTATTAAATCATCTGAAAAATACAAAATAGTCTTTAAAATACTTAAAACAATATGCGATGAAACAAATGCTTTTTACAAAAGAAGGATAACAACATGTGAGCTTCGTTAGCTTCGCAATGATATTTTTGCAACGATACTCCAGACGTAGGTCTTCTCGAGAAGATGCGATAATTTGTACTCAAATCAACAACCACCAAGCTTGTCTCTGATCAATTCACCGCTACTTATCAATTATTCAATCATCTGAAAAATACAAAATAGTCTGAAAATTGTTTAAAACATGTGCGATGAAACAAATGCTTCCTACATGAAAAGAAGGACAAAAACATGTGACCTGGTTAGCTCTGCAACGATACTCCAGATGCAGGTCTTCTCGAGAGGATACGATAACGGTAATCGTATCGAGAAGATACGATAGCGTCGATCGGCGGCCTGGTAGAGCAGCCACGGTGTTCATGATCAGAAGAGCGGCAGTATCCTGGTCCTCCCTTTAGTAGTCTCATACCACTAGCGTATACCCTTACTGTGGTACCCCTGGCGGCGCGGTGCTAGCCGTGACACGAGAATGTGATTAATGATCGCAACGGAGAGCCATGCACCGTATACCGCTCTCCTCTCTTTTCCCTCTTCTCTCTCTCTCTCTCTCTCTCTCTC